GCAAGGCAAGGCACCCCGGGTAGGCGCGAGCAACGGGCGCACAGGCAGCCGGGAACGGAAACGGGGCAAGGAAAGTGAATGGAGGGAAGAGGAATGGGAAAGAGGAATGAAAAAAAAACGTTACTGGAATTAGAATACGTCATAAAATAAGTGCAAAATCTCCCATTGTTCACGAACTACTGGACCGAAATTTCCCCAGGAAACTCGCTGGAGGAAACTCAGCCGGTGTTCCCCGACACCCCCAGCTTCCCTAAACGAAGCACAGTTCTTAACATGGACACAAACTATAAATCAACCCACCGCACCAGCCGGGGTCCGAACCAGCGATCTTCATACCATCAGTCCAACGCACTAACCACTCAGCTACTCGCGCTGTCTTCGTCTCGGCAATTTTATCTCACATATAGCCATGATTTCGCCAAGTTTGCCAAATATTTATGACTTCGTCGCTCAAAACTTGCGTCGCAGGACTCGAACTCGCTTCCTGCGGATGGTTGGGCAAACGTGTTACACACTGAGCCATCCCAGCACATACTGCGTCATTTTTCAGTGTCTCTGTGATGGTTGATTAGGGTTGGGACTTGATAAGAACACAGCGCAGTGGAATCAAAATCGGACAGAATCTGGATTCGAACCAGGGATGGCTGATTGCTAGCCCAACGCCCTACCATTGAGCTATCCTAGCACGTCTTTTCCGTATCATGAGGCTGTCCACAAATTGTATTTGTATCATAGCGCTTGTATAACAGTAAACTTCCATACGTTGTAAAAAAAGAACTGATTTTAAAAGAGTTTATTCTTCAAACCTTATAATGCATAGACATTTCAAACACAGGTATATTGATTGATTCGAGCTTAGCATGACAGATACTGAACGACAAAACTCACCCAGATGAGGAACTTCACAATATGCAGGAAAAAAAAANCAAAGTAATAACAACTTCCAAGATTTTCTTTTCTGAAAAGTATTTTCTTTATTGCGGAGTAAGATCAGTGAAGTGGGCGGGGCTAGGGCGCCTTACATGTCCATACTGGTGGAAACCCCACTGACTTTCGCTGTTTTTACCAGTTTGGACACGTGCGGCCCAAACCGGTTAAAACATCGAGGATCAGTAGTGTTTCCGCCAGTCTGGCCCCGCCCATTTCACTTGTCTTAGTCCGCGGAAAAGGATGTAAATCTCTGGCCCTACAAATGGACAATAATATTGTCAAGGTTTCTGGGATGATAAGTTGGGAGCCTTAGCCTATATCGGGCCATTATAGCTGAAATATTTAAGAACTGGTCCTTTCTGAAAAATTTCTAGAGCTGTTAAAGAAATTTTGTAGGTTTTCCCAAAAACTGAAACATATGCCGGAGATTCCAGCCACCATAGCTAGATTTTTTTCGAGATAATTACTTAATTTTACTATTTCTGAAAGGAAATCTCATCTTCATGACTCAAGGATTCGATATTCGAAAGTTCTACAGAAATTCCTTGATCCGGTCTGCTCATTGTTTGCTGTTTGACCGCTTTCTCATTCTCTTTTTCTTTACGTAAATGTGCATTATGTAATGATGCAAAAAATTAATGAACCAATGCCTTTTGAAGAAATTAAGAATGAATTTGACACTACTACCGTAGCCATGGCACTACACTTCCCAAACTGTCGCTAGATAGAGAATGCAAAACATCTTCCGTTGCCGGGAATCGAACCCGGGCCTTACGGGTGAGAGCCGTAAATCCTAACCACTAGACCACAACGGACACGACAACGACATCGATACGAGCGCCGAAGAATCGCGGCAAAGTGGCCTTTAAAAGTTCATTTAGTTCAGTCTCGAATGTATCTAGTATCGATTAACTCTTGCAGTAAATGCGATAAAATGTCCGCCTAGGTTAAACCGCTTCAGAAATCTTTAAAAAGCTCAAAAATTCTTATAGAAAATGCTTGAAATGGGAAGACTTGCATGGAAATCGCTTACACAACTAACACCATAGACACATAGAAGGCAGCATGAAACCCGTCGTCACCTTTGCTTCAGAACTTGGCAAAAAAAGACTACAGATTAACAAAGGAGAAAAATACCAATTTTCGTGAAAAATCGATAGTTCCATAGCTTAGAGTTCAATTTTTTTCTTCAGATGCTACGCCTATTTCCAAACCTACTAAGTCCTGCGTCAAAGATTCGTGAAGTTCGTAATGTAAATTCTGCTCGAGCCCCGCACTGCAACTATCCTGCCGTGGTCATCCCGCTTCCAGCAGCAGCAATCCCCCCGAAAACCTTTTCTTTGACAAATTGTTTCATTTTCAGCCCAGCTCTAAGCAAAGTATCTGATCTGACGTTGATCATCTGCCAATTGCTGTGGGATAAAGTACCACAAATAACTTGGAATACATCTATCATATCATTAGTTAGTACAGAACTCAGAATCTCCTTCAAAGGCAGCAGCCACGGAAAAATTCAATTTGAGAATTTTGCTTTTTTGTACAGTAGCCATATGGGTTGCCTAAAGCTAAAGTAAGGAAGCGCAAAAGTTAAATCTCACTGAGAAAATGTCGAAAACTTGCCCATCCTGCTTATCCAAACTACGGACGAGTTTTCCGTGGACTTGCGCGTCGAACAGGTACGCTTCGGTGTAATTACACC